TTGGTTAAGAGCGACGATACTTGATTTAGAGGTCCCGGGTTTGAGACCCGCTTCTGGTGTCAAGCAGTAGTGACAACGGTTTTCACATAAAAATATAATTAGCAACATATTTCTAAATGAAAATAGCCCTTGACCGGCATTACTACACCACTTAAAAGTTACCCCTATTAGATGAAATCTAATAATAAAACCATCAAATATGGATGGATTAACCATTGGGTTACCATCTAAAACTAGTAAGAAGAAGTTTCAGCCCAACAGTGCTCATAGGACGCAAAGTTCTGATTGATATCGAGATATGAAAAAAGCTTTATTACTCTACATATTATATAAAAAACCAAAGCCTTGTCATTTTTAATACAAGCCGAATTTTTTTTTTAATAATTGACATGGGTTTAGCCGTTTATTCAAAACGTGAATGATTCTTATCATAGATAAGGAAATAAATAATGGTTATCTATAAATGATTCTTATATACATATATGGCAATACACAGACATGCACATCACATTAATAATCAATGATTAATTCATCATTTTGCCAAGAAGTTTACACTTACGTTTTCATATGCACAAAGTTTCATATGTAGGTTTGATTAAGTTTCCCCCTTTCTAGGGTTTTAAAACTTTTTAGTGGAAAATGAATATCTTGGGAAGGCTATATTTAAATAAATCATAATAAAAAATCGGTTCACATACATACACACATACTTTTTCCAAATTTGGTCTCATTCGATTCAGAACGATTTGAAACGCAGAGGAATCAAAATGAACAAAATCGGATTATATTGCGAAAAATGAGGACAAATTTAAATCAAAATTATTAGTCATAATAATAGTAGTTGTTATTACTTATATATTACCTCTCAAAAAATGTGAGATTAAATTTGTTAAATTTATTATTATTATTCAATTCTATTATTTCAAGCACATATTGATTTGATTTCGTTTCGTTTCTGGATCAAATTTGTTCAAAAATATTAAAATAATAAAGTCCAAAGCTAACCATAATTATATTGACCATAATATTGAAACATAATTTTATGTTTATTTTACATTATTATAAGTTATAACCGTATTAGAAAGTTCTATATATAAATCGACCTGAAAGGTTTCAAATCCATTTGTACCATTGCTGTTTAATAATTGATATTCAGGGTTATAGAATATAATTGAACTCATATCTGATAAATATCAAATACACCTGTCATAGGGATATATATATATATTTTCCACGTATATCTATCTAATAATATATTTTTATTTTTACACACTAATTTTTATCACTTGGAAATAGTATTGATTGGTTTTTAAGAAGCAAAATCTTTATTTTTGGAATAAAGGGTTGAATTTCCACCGTTTAAGTTGCAAATTTTAATTGTTAGTAATTATTTATATAGTAGTTCATACAACTAGTTACCAAAAACGTTATACCAAAATGTATTTTCCAGAAAATATGAAATATATTATATCAAAATTCAATATTAGTACAAATTGTGTTTGCACTTTCCAATATTTATCTGCTTTCTGAACATTTATTTTATTTATGTATTGTGGTTTTCTGAAATTGGATAAGAATATATAGCATTTTCAATAAATAGCACAATATGTTAAAGTATGTGTCTTAATTTAAAGTTTTCTATTATCTCTTTCACGAAAATAATTCATAAACTTTGCTAATGAACATATTATAAAAACCAAACAAAAATTTAGTAGCTGAGAGAAAGTGTCAAAACCCTTTGCATAATAATACGATGATATGCATGTATTTCTTTACATTATCATGTGCGTGTTTGTTTTTGTTTATAAAAAATAGTTTTAAAATATGCGCATAATATAAGAGCATTAATGGATATTATTTTCACATGAATATACTATATATGCGTCGTGCAAGTAATATCACTAAATTCACGATAAGTCAAATAATGTTGTCGTAGTCTCTAGTCACTTCGACGTAAACATGTTTTTTTTGTTCGTAATATAGTTTTACCTTCGTATAAAAATAGAAAAATCATTCACTTGAATAGAATGCTTGATTAGGAACCTATTTTCGCAGAGCAAATTGACCTTACGCTTTAAAGTTATAAATAGAATTTATTGTGTTTGGTTCCCGTAACGGTGACTAACTTTACCAGAAAACAATTAAACGAATATTTGAACATTGAACTATTGCATCCATTAATTGGAAAATAATTAAAATAGTTAAAACTAAGGAAGCAATAAATAAACAATTCCAGAGCTAAAAAAACTAATATAAAACACTTACCTGATCCTTATATATAATTGTTCAAAATGGTATAATAACTGCATGGACAATTATTAATAACATATTTTATGTTATATAGCAGCATGTCGATAACATTAAACAGTTCAAAATAAGAGATACTCTGATGATGCACTTATAAATAACAAACACGAAAAATAAAACTAATGTTTTTTGGACATTTGTGCCCTTTGAAGAATATGTTTTAGCAGTTGAGCGCTCAAATAAACGCCATAGACATAACTTTTGACAGTTCGAGATTGTCAACTCATGAAGGCCAACATTAAAAAAAAAGCTCATCAAAATAAAATAGTTCTACATATTATTTTACCACGATATACAGATAACATAAATTAACTATTTTATCCGAGAATTGGCCTATATTATATACTTACTGTTTCGAGTCATGAAGTTTTTTATACTTTACACCATACGATTATTTGTGCAAATCTGAGTGTGAAGTTAAAACATAAGGAACACAACCTAGAAACGTATTATCCTGTGATGATTAATATATTATTTTTTTGGGGTTTTAGTATATATTTATATTTTAATATAAGTTATCTTGGGTATATTAGATTATATAGATTGTTTTTAATTATATTTTGCACTTTCATAGTAACGGATATCTTAAAAACGCTACATGTGCTACCACATGCGTTTAAATCATGAACTAGAAAAATCGCAAAAATTTGGTTGCAAGTTTTGCGCAAATACCACTAACGATTTTCTTGAATTTTCACAAATAATTGCACAAGTAAACATTATGCATGGTCAGTTTTGATATCTTATTATCCATTTATTATCTGAATTGATTATAAACAATTGATATAAATAGAAAATTAGTAGAGTAATTACGCCATAAAAATACTTTGAAGCATATAACTGAATAATTATTATTAAAAGTATTTAAACTTCAGAAATTCAAATATATTTTTATTTTAACCTATAATAGCAGACAAATATATATTATACATGGAATGTTTTCAATACTCATATTAAATATTTTGCAATTAGATAATGATATTTGCGTAATTACATTTCATCATTGAGTTACACATGCCTTAAAATTGTTGCTTCGGTGCCAAACACTATGATGCAATTTTTTACAAATACGTAACAATGAGCTATTAATATAAAGATCATTTCTAACTTTTCAAAAAAGTTTATGTTTCTGAAAAAAAAAACGACATTCTAATTTTATCTTTTCTCGATGTTTTCTCGAAGCCAATCTGAATCGCTTGAGACAATGTTTGAAAATGAATGCAAAGAAATAAAAGATAATTATGTGTATTTGTATGTAAGCCGATTATTTGAAAACAAAATTAAAAAGAATATGTATCAAAAATCAAAATGATTTAAAAGTCCAAATTCTCAATGTAATATCTCATCAGTATAAATTGTATCCAATTTTATTTTTATATATAAATTTTTTTCAACAAAAATCAATTTCTGATTAATAATCGTCGCATCCCGCCCATCGAATTGATAAAAGCCATAATTAATAACATTATCTGTCTTTATCCGGATCTATAAATACAACATCCGTGGGTGCGTACGCGTTTCCTCGTATCAAAATCGGTTTGAACCGGTTTTGCACGGTTTTCGCTCATTGACCGATAAAAGCAAAACAAATAGCCATTGTGTTGCAAATCTGTTTGAGTTTGTACACATATACACACATTACGAATACAGAACGTTTATTATTATTTATATTTTCGCCTTCCTTGAATACCGGCCGGTTCCAGATAATTTACTATCACATAATGCGACAAGTGTTTTTCCTGAAATGAAATGCTGCAAATTTTATAGAGATTAGATTTTTTATAGAGAAAGATACATGTGATAGTTGGAGTATGAGCAGATCTTGGAAGTGTTGGGTGGTCGAAATTAAAGTAATAAACTAGTGGAGTGCATGGCATCGTGCCTTAAGGCAAATTGCTGGAAATTCCCGTACCGCAATTAAAAATCTTGGTACGGAACCCAAAAAAAAATATATGAAATGTGTACACATTATTAAAATCTCTATAAAATATCTAATAATTTGATGTACATATGTCCAATAAACATTTTTGACCGCCTAATGACATTTTTTATTGAAAGTTCATAACCGCTGGACCTGCCTTTCCAAAAATTTAATCAGTTCTTCATGTTGTCAATACAAGTAAAATGTTTTTTGAATTATCAAAATTAGACGCTCCGTTCTCTTAAAAACTGAGTTACCGTTTTTGGCACTTTTTGTACCGTATCTTCGGAACGGCTAGACCTGCTTTCGCCAAAAACTAATCAACACGTCTCCTTATCAATACGAATCAAATGTTTTTTGAATTATTCAAATCGGTTGATCGGTGTTCCTGAAATCGTCGACAAAAATTTATATCCGCACACACACACACACATACATTCATTTTTTCTAAGGTATGCCAAAATGTTCAGAAACCTTTGAAACGTAAAGATATATAAACATTTTCATTTTCGATTTTTTTGCGATTACTATAACTTGCCTTACGGAAAGTTAATAATGAGACTATAATATTATTTTTACAATACCATATTTCTTGTTTCTTGGCCATCTATTTTACTTTTCACGATTGACTTTTACGATTCGCAAGATGGCAAGTCACTACTCTCGAGCTCAACATGTTTGTATTCAATGGTGTCTAAAATGACAAGAAAATATTTATATTTAATTCTTTAATTATTTTAGTTTTAATTATTTATAACTTAGATACCTTCAGATTTATTTATAAAATCGATAGTTCCTTCATTTAAATCAAGAAAAGCGCCAGTCCTGGTGTGCAAAAATTTATAGGAACAGAACAGGCTCCTATAAAGGTTACTTTCATATATTACTGATTTTGTTTTGTATTACTTCTAGTTTAATATTTGTTTATTCTGTTTTAGCATGTCAAGAAACGGATTTGATGCATCGATTATTCAAAACTTAGAAATTATCCTTCCTTCCACTTAATTGTGGGGGGCATGATTATGAAGAATTAGCAAAGGACTGTAGACAATGGTTCATTGATAATGAAGCAGATTATAATTTGAGGTATATAGCATTCATTCATAAAATAAACTTGTGTAGTAAAAATTCAGTCGCATGCATTGTTAAAACTTATCTATAGATAAGTCTAACTATAGTTAGGGATGTATCGATTTACTACTAGTTCTGGAAAGTAATAATTATTTTTGAAATCAAGATTGTTTATATTTATATACATAATGTATAATTTTAGAGATTCTGAAAGCTTTCTTTGCATAATGGACCCCAGAATAAGAAGTAATTCACTCGGCAAGATTGGCTATAATGAATTTTGATAAAATATTTAGAAGTTTTGTTATGAAGAATGCTTAGCCTTGGGGAAACGTGTGAAATGCTCTTATGAACATTTGTAGAAGGCAGTTGAAATATGGAATAAAAGACAAAAAAACATCTAAGAAGGTAACTTAGATTTATAGCCTTTTAGTAAGTCATGTTAAGGGATATTCTAACTGGTTGTCTTTTTTTTGATAAATCATGTACTGGACATTTAAAGATCTGGACAAGGAATAAGTATAAATAATATCCAGCATATTATTCCTGCTCAAGCTTTTACCATAGAAGCTGCCGTGATTGATTTAAAGAAACTAACAAATTTAGAAGCAATGAAATATTAAAGAGTTGCCAATAGTTAATCTTATAAAGAAAAGAATTTTGGCGTTATCTTTTGTATTGAGCTATGAATATCTTTTTGCATGAGGGTGAAAGACATATCTATCAGATATCATATGTTAGCTTTAGAAAGAAATTTGTTTCATTTAATTTTATTAAGCATAGTTAAAATTAAATTGTAATTACAAAAATTTGTGGTCCCTGAACACATTTTCTAAAAGAATAGCAGGATGTTCAACGTGATAAACAAATCTAATGATAATTAGTGCAAACTTTTGTAGCTTGTGATTCATTGTGAAGACTGTCAGCATAAAATATGTTTTATAAAGAGAAATAAACAAAAGCAAAAGATATATGATCTTTTTGTTATAAAATTTTATACATTTTGAAGACACTGATAGCTTAATAAACAATTCTAGTCGCAAAAAATAATTGAAAACCATTTTTACCTTAAAATCTGTGATCTAGTTAGCAGAAACCTTATAGATTTAAAAAAATATTCCATTTTGTTTTCATAATTTAATGATCAACTATATTATGTATTGAGCTGATACGTTTATTGCAAATATTTGTAATTTTGCATAGTAAAATTTGCACATTTAAATGACTGTTGTCAAAAAAATGATAAACTAATTCAACATTAATAAAACGAAGAATTTATATATTAACTAATATATTATTAATTATATTGTTTATTATTAAGTATCTATTCTAAATTATATCCAATATTTTACAAGTATCTATTGAACATTTATAAAAGCGGAAGATTATTGTGTGAGGACGGTTTTCAATAAGGCAATATGATTGATTATATAAATATACACTTATGGATTTACATTTATAAAATATGGGTCTCCAAATATTATTTTACTGCTTAGTGAGATCTACATTTATAAATTATGTGTCTCCAAACATTTTTTACTGTTTAGTGAGATCTAAAATTTTATATGTTTGGTGCTTAATATTTATTTATTTCTATACATATAAAACTAATGGTAATTATAATAATTCTATACACTTATTTCTATATAATATTTTTAATGTCTATGGTTTCAAGTACTATTAAGCGGTGTCGTGGTCGTTTACATTTTATTTAGTTGTAAATTATTTTTTAATAATTACTTAATTCAGTAGTTTGTATATAAATTGTAATATATATTTAAATCCATACAACAGCTCGATAGATCATGTGTTACTTCAAAATTTATTGGTATGCTATTAAACCAATATCGATCTTTCACATTTTTTTACATGAAATATTGCAATGTTTTCGCATTTAATTGGAAATGGACGTTTTTGTCTTTAGAAAATATGACAACCAAGGTTGGGTTTTTTTTTCAACCCTCTCGATATTTTATTCTTTAAGAATAGAAAATTAAGTACATTCAGAAAAATTAAAGAATTAAATGAATATGTGCTTCTTCAAAGACAAAATAAATGAAGTAACACATAAATAAAACAAAATAAATTCTAAATGCTAACCTTAATAAATCATATTAATAAAGAAAAGAAAAGTTATCTGCATGGAAGTCCAAGACGACATCTACACGTGGTCTGGAAATATCGGCGTGGTCGGGTTGGGAAATTGAAGAGTTTTGAATACACTTAATGATAAAAACTAACTGATCAATTACACAAATAATTACACAATGGAAATAACTGAATAACTGATAACACTGAATGAGACCACATTATATGTAAAGAATAACCAAAGATCTAATGCTCCTGCATCGACCTTTCCGACCTATGTACGTCGGAATTGCCCGATTTTAGAAATTTTAATAGTGCTGTACGAATATAAAATTAAGCTAATTGCAGGTCAGATACCTGCGTTGTAAACATGTAGTTAATACAATGGTTCCCAACCTTTTTTGCACCGCGCCCCCCTGCTCTAATAAAAAAAATTGTTGCGCCCCCCTTAATTTTTTCAATTTAATTTTATAAATACTCAACTGATATTATCAGACTATAAATTAATATGCAATTATGTAAAAATATTGCATACAAATTTATTATTTTTTAATTTTTTAAATCATTTCAAAAATTTTGGGTTATTTTCTAAAATAGTATTCTGGAAATAGGCGTAAGCGCCCCCTTAGAACGGACTGGCGCCCCTCCGAGGGGTTTGGATACCGCTGAGTTAATAACAAAAATATTCAAAATATGCTTTCATAAATTTGATGATTCTGCTGATTAACAGGACAACTATTAGTTGTGCAGGTGGTTCAGCAAAATTTTGCCTCTTTTTTAATTCATGATCGATCAAATCATGTAAAATCAACTATAGGCTTAATTATGAAGATTAATCTAATTAAGACAATTTAAAAAAATCCAAATTAGTAACAGTTTTATGATGAGCACGCAATTAGAGTACAATTCGATTTAAAAATTAGCGAAAGACAATTAGCATTTTATTTAATTGTTACTATTTGTTTTCAAATGTATTTAATTAATAATTACTACCTCGTAATTTTTAATAGAGATAGTTACTAATTTAAGTAAACACATATACCCATAGTTCATTGCTCACTATTTACACTGCCACATCAATAATCAACTATTTTCGATACGCTTTGTTCGGGATTTTTCTGATTTTATTTTAGTTGTTTTTGTTTCTTGAACGATTATCTTATAGGAGTAATATTACAAAACTACTTAAAAAGATTGATATGCAACTAGCTTTAAATAAGGCAGCAAAATTTCCTCCTTCATAAGTTGGTGCATATGAATTACCACCCTGAGTCCTTGTTTCTCTGGGGCTACACCACCCACCATTGGATACCAGGTTTCGGTAGATGATTGTTCTATAACGAAAATTTATTATAGTATAATGTAATATGATAATAAATTACATATTAGACAGAGGATTACAGAAATCAGAACTACGCGTTATATATGAGCACTTTTCTGCAGCTTTTGTTGCAAAAATGTATCAAAATATTTTGAATTAAGATAAGATATAAAATATCTTTATAAAAATATAAAAAAAGTATTGCTATATTTTATACTGCAGATATTTTTATACAATTCTATACGTACAAAATCGCGGTTACCGTTAGATGAATGAAGATAAAATATAGGTAATTTTTCTAACATGAAAGTAACCCAAGTTAGCCCAAAATCAGTCCAGTTGCTTCGGAGATTAACGAAAAAAATGTCAGACAAAGCTAAAAAAAAGTTAACTTAGTATATGCACCCAGGGTGCCGCACTCTATGCTTATATTCATTTGCATGTATTAAGAAACGGCTATTCTAATATTACAAAAAACACTCCAATTTTATATAGGTACTATTATTTACCATTATTAGACCAGGATCTCGAATTAGCTGTAGCCCAATAAGGTATTTCTGACGACGTTTGCATTACTACACTATTCCCATTAAAATTATCAACAGATTTGGGATTTGCTGATTCCACATTTGTTGACGGTGTCCATGTCATTCCTCTACCATAATTCAGTGGTCTTGAGCTCCCTATAGCAAAAATAACATTGTATTTTTAACAACTTAAGTAATAAACTACGAAATATTTAAAAAATCATTGGAGAAATAGTAATGACTAATGATTTATTATCAGATGCTCTTTTAGTGGCAACTATGGAAGATTTAGAAAGCAACTTACTATGTGAATACAATCCTCCTTCATTGTTTTCTGGTCATTTGGGTTTGGATTATTCGGATTGTTATTCATCCAAGACGGAGGTATTGAAGCTTGAACAGGTGGGCCCCAAGACGGCGCTGCTGAAGGTGCTCTTTCTACAGAAAAAATTGATATGTATATGCTCTATAGAACTTATTAAAAATCTATACAATAATTCATATACATTTGACCAATTTATGGAGTCAAACGACTCGAATTTTCTCTAGATAATTCGAAGTTTAATGAATATGAATAAAAATAATAGAAGAAAAGAACTAATAGTGATTGTGTACGACGTAGATGGTATATTTTAATTTACTTTTAATGTTATTATCTATTAATATTTCTATTCATTAAATATTTCAGAATATGGATTGGAAATGCAGTGTAATCGAAGTGAATAATAATACTATTTTCTCAGAGTTATTCTTCTCTGAAATATTATCATAATAATTATTTGTGAATCTGCTTTTCTACATGCTGTATATTATGCTAACTTCATAGAAATACTCTTCTTATATTTATGCAGATTTATCACACAACAGTATTTAAAGAAAAGAAAATAAACATAATTAGCTATTAATGTATTTGCATTTTTACCTGTTTCCCAAGCAGTTGTTCTGCTTTGTGGAGAGTTGTACGAAGCAGGAATTGCAATGGTTTGAGAACCATCAGAATCCTCCATTGAAGTGGTTCTCAACACATTGGCCATGGCGCAATCTCCAGAATTCGGTCTGTTTTAGAAAGAACAATTAAAAGTATTAATAAACTAGGTGTTTGTGCTATTAAATATAAATTATCGACTTAATCAATAAAATAGACATATACATATTTTGATAAAATTTTCACCTGTTTATATGAAAAAATTTTCGCCTTCTCTAAAAAGTAATTTATTCACTACTATATTTACAAACTGTCCAGTTAAGGACACTTAGCAAATTTTTGTCCAACATCGAATCGGAGCACTAATGGGTGACCTTTCGACCTTTTCCTTTATTTAATAAACCATCAAACTTACTGAATGTTGTATAAGAACAACAGATTGTAATTCACAAATGTAAATAAAAAAAGCAATTTTTTTTATTTACAATTGTCAGCCATAATATGGATATTGTATATCATAATGAAAAAGTATTCAATGAGATTGATATATCTTGTAATTGTATATGACATTGATGATATCTTTCAAACAAACTTATCATATATGTAGTTTTTTCATTATAATTTCAGGTTTGTTCTTACAATAGTTATGACATTGTTCTCCCAAAAATCCTAAGGCTTTGTCTAAAACTTGTCTGGCCAATTTGCTAGCTGAGTGTTCACCAGTTCTTGCCCTGTCATCCAAGTCGCATCTCATTCGGGAAACAGAAACTACACATCGAGAAAATGATTCATAGGCACTGAAAATAAAAAAGTTAATTATTTTTTCTTATAAATCG